TGGTCAGGCACTCGTCAAAATAATGAAATCATCGAGACCGTCGTTTTGCCGCTACTTGGGCAATTTTTCTTGTCAACTCAACACCTTTTATGTCCTTTCAAAAACACATTTGTGAAGCGCGCTAACAAAATGAGTCACTTCACGCAATCCATGACTGGAGATATCAGCCAAAAATCAACACAAGGGTCATATTTGTAGACTCTAAACCAATGCCATTCTCTTCAAGTTTAAAATGTCTTTTATCATTTCATACTGATAAATTGTAAAACTTCAACCTATATATTTGATGTTTCTATTTCCATCGGTCTATAATCTGAGAAGTAACTCATTTTGTCAGCACACTTCACAAATACTTAAATCTCTATCAATTTATCTTTAAATTGTGTTTACTGTAACTATGATAATATTTTTGCCCCTCGTTCAGTTTCTTTAAAAGACAAGGAGAGTTTTCTTTATAACCAAACAAATATACACACCAATAAAACCAAACTTCTCCTATAGGTTGGGCAAAGCCCACTTTTGGGATAGGTCAAGATTTCTAGAAACCCCCGATATCTGGGTTAGCCGCTTGTCCTTGAAAGCGACCAATTTTTCTCAGGTGCTGAAACTTTACGCGTGGGAAGAGTCTTTCGAGGAGAAAATCTCCGAAATTCGGAGTCAAGAGATGAAAGTTCTGCGGCGTTTGGCGTACTTTAGAATTGGGATTCAGCTCAGCAACTGGATGACACCATTTTTGGTAAGTTGTTGTTGTTGTTCGTTGTGTTGTATTGTTGTTGTTGTTGTTGTTGTTGTTGTTGTTGTTGTTGTTGTTGTTTTATTGTTTTTTATGTTGATGATGATCATCATCATTATCATCATAATCAGTCGGTGGATGGCGGGTGTTCTGGTGTGGTTGGCTCCTTCTTTCCTATCAAACATATATTGTCCTGATCTCTTCTATTTCTTTTTTTTGTTTGTTACTCTCTTGTAACACCTCTAATCTTCGACACTTATATGACCTTATTGTGTTGCAAGTGCAGTAAAACTCTTACTAAAACTAAACATCATAATCATGATGATGATGATGATGATGACGATGATTTTATAATGTCGTAAATATTAAGATACTCAAGTCTCCACAAATTTTTGTTGTTTTTTTTCTTATCGTGCTTACAACAAGGGTGATGATGATGATGATGATGATGATGATGATGATGATGATGATGATGATGATGATGATGATGATGATGATGATGATGATGAAACCAAAAATGTAATCTACCTCATATCCTGTAAAGTCTGTCCAGCTCAATATGTAGGTCAAACTACCACCACACTAAGAGCTAGGTTTAATAACCAGAGGTATTCAGTCCAGAAAAACTCCAGCACACCAGTTGGCCAACATTTCAACAGTCCTGGTCACAATGGTACCTCCGATTTGCAGCTT